TTTTTTTCACCCAAAAATTTAAGTTGATGCCGAATCTGCCTACAGGTATTATTGAGTTTTGCTTTGGTGAAAACGTTTTGAAAATATCAAATTGGAACTGAAAAGATTCGCTAATGATTCAGCTAAATCAGGGTTTTAATGAGAAACTCAGTTGATAGTTTGTTGAAAAGACTTTGTATCGTCATGATAAATTATTCAGCCTCTTTATTCAAGATGCATTCATTCTTCACAGCTTTAACATCTTAATAATTAATTTTGGTTCTTCGAGTCCATTCTAACATTTCACTCATACTGTTGTCATTTCCAACTGCTAAAGAAACTGTAAACATCGATAAAGATCGTGGTCTGTGGAAAAATTCTTTTCAGTTTTATTCAAAATACTTTAATACAATGGCATTTTATCAGAACCGTGGACAGGATAACACGTTTGGTTGCAGGAGGAAAACCATATTCAAGCTCGTTGTTTTTCTTTGCGTTCTTGGAGGGTGGTGCTTCGTGACACAGAACTACACAAACTGCAAAAGCTTTACTACAACTTACGAATCAAGCCCAGAAGACTGGTTTGATGGAAATATAACAAAGTTTCAAAACAAAGCTAACATCTACAACTATGTTGTCCTTCGTAAAACCACAATTGAAGCATATGGTGATTTCTCCTGTTCCAGCTCATTGAAGCCCAGAATGTGTATGTATAAAGTCGATACACTCGTGCAGGCGGTGCAGATATGTAATGTCTACGCCGATATCTGTGTGGCATTTGTGTTGTCTAGAGACATGAATATTAGGTTGAAGCATCAGGTCAGACGAGTGAATTACGATAGCCAAGCGGTCACGTTTGTGAAGAACGCGTTTGCACCGCGCATCGGGGACTTTCCATCAACTAAATTATCCAGAACCGCGAACACATCAAGGCCTTTGAACTGAGTCTACATTCTCGTGAGCGTTGATAATAACCTGTTCTCGTCTTTGGAATGTTATTAATAACTAGCTACGCCGTTATGCTCTTACAGACGGAGTAATAATACCCCTGGTTATACAGACAGTTGTTTCTTGTTCAGCTACAGAAATAGGAAAGAGCAAAAAAAGACTCCGACGCCTCTGCAGTATTACCATTTTGTAATGAGAAATGAAAAAGTTGATTGCGAAAACTCACAATGTTGTTGAAATTAGTAAACCGTTTTATTGAGTAGCTATTTTGATATCACCCTATCCGATTCTAAAGTATGTGCGTGTGCACTAACTTTCTCACTTTCGTGATTGCTTCCACCGGCATTATTATTACGTGCCAATATAACCGGCTTTAAAAATACCTCGTTTGATTGTTAAATGTTCTTGTGTTTTAGGAGCCATACATTCAAGTTTTAATATAAATTATAAAGGACCGATGAAAATCATTCTGTTCGTCGGTGGATATGGTTTGAACATTGTTTATTCAATCTAAAAAGTGTTGATTGGCAGAATAATATATTACAAATAATGGCCATCGACCAGTTCATGTAAAAGATCATTTGAGAGGACTCTTGAAATACTATTTCTCTTTAATTGTTTCTTAGCTTTTGTTGTTGTTTTTTCATGTATACACTAAAAGCCGAAGATACAGTAAATGTTCTTCGATCTGCATTGCGAAGTACTAATTAGTTCGGCAACCAATCGTGTCAAAGAAAAACAAACCGCTCCAAAAATATACACCACCCTGAATTTATACGCACATGGAAGTGTTTTAGAGAATTGCAAGCGAGCTCCCAAGTGTTCCTGCGTTTTTCAAGTGTTGATACAACTCAACAGCGCGAGATGCTTAAGAAAACTTGTTCATAATTGAATTCTCTTTTCGTTTGCTGCCGTTGCACAATAGTCTTCAACGAGGGTTTTTTATATGGGGGTAGGCAGGGGGTATAAAGATTCCATTTCCCAGCTCAAATTTTGCTCAAGTCACATTTCCTGGGCATATGTTTTCTCTTAATTTGAGTCTCATTCCTTCTTCCGAATCCAATTTTCCCAATGATAAAAAATAAATTAAATTTTAAAAATAGGCACATACCAGCTTCCTGCACTGGGCTCAACAAGTACACTCTGTCGAAGCTTTTTTATGAACTTCTTGATTTACTTGCAGGGCTTGTCTTTCTGGTCATGTGGAAATCATTGAACACCTTATCACTAAGGTAAAGGCGTTTAAGATCAATGCATGCATTTGAGCACTTAAAATCATTTTAAAAGAATTCCATAAAAATTCAAATCACTAGGTTGACTGTTTGTTGTTGGTGATTTCGTCTCCCTGTAAACGCGTCTTCAAAACTGGCGAACACCTACTGAAGCTATTACTAATATGTTGCAGAACATCGTCACGAAGAGCTTTTATGCAGATATCTCCTATTCCACGTTTGCAAGCGGCTGGCTATTTAAGCTCAATAATAGACTATTCAAATCGCATTGAGAGTCACAGTGAAGTGATGAATGTCTTAATTAGACCCTAGACCTGCGTAATAGTCGTTTTCTTTCCAGGCGCGAGAGGGAAAGCTACAGATGAAGCGGATGACTAGCGCGTTTTGACCGCGCTTCGGTCATAGTCAAGTTTAATGTTAGAACAGAAAATTAGTATATAAGAATAAAGTCATCAAAGATTCCTGTGCGAATGCCAGCAGTAGTTTGGCTCCATATGATCCTTTTATCTTCATTGTATCAGTGACACTGCCATTATCGAATTTCATTTTCATGTAATTTGGTTTTGTTTAGGGTGCAGCAATATGCCCGTTACCAGGCTCCACCGCGCCATCTCCTCTCATGTGCGCAGCAAAAAGGGGGCATAATAGAGCCATCCTGTTTCTTCTCCAACGCGGATCGCCAATTGACCTGAGAGACTCCCATCAAAGAACGTGCCTTCACGTAGCAGCGCACAGCGCTGATGTAGAAACTGTTGATATAATTCTCGAGGTATATGTATCGAACTCAAAAATAATTTAACAACTTTAAAACAAAGGAATTCATGGCCGTGGTGGTGTTTGGATATCTGATCGTAGCTTGCATAGATATTTACGATTTTATTTTATTTATTATTTTATTTCTCCGTTTTCTCCTTAATTTTTGTTTCGATTGAGGAGATATATCAAACACTCAAGGCAGTGTTTGACCACATTTCCAAACACCCCGAAGCTCGTCAAAAATACTCCTCTCAGCGTCGTATTTTCAACTCTCTTCTCGGTGTTTGGAAATGTAGTCAAACACGGTCTTTTGTATTTGATGTAATATATCAAACACGAGAGACAGTGTTTCATCAGGGTATCCAAACACCGGGAACAGAGTTAAAAATACGACGCGCAGCGGAGTATTCTTGACAAACTTCGAGGTATTTGGATAGCTGATGAAGCACTGTCTCGGGTGTTTGATATATCTTCTCAATCGAAACAAAAACTAAGGAGTAAACGGAGAAGTAAAATCGTCAGAATCTTTGCTAATTAAGACCGGGTATCCAAACCTCCTTCACGGTTGTAATTTTCTTTGTTTACACTTGATGAATTATTAATGAGTTTGAGAAAATAATACGTGTCAAACTAACAAAGTATGGAAACTACATAATGTTTCATTACACCTTTACGGAGCTGGCCGTTTATTTGAAGTGTCAAATCGCCCTAAATAACTTACACATTTG